AACAACGGAGCCACTTTATGATGACGGCCCCCGCACAGAATAGCTTCTGGCCACTTGCTGTAGAAACATGTAGCCACTAGCAATTTTCGCTTCTACGGAGGTGCATTGGCCAACGGGCGCATAATATCGATGGCAATTTTGCCCATGGCTTCATTGGGTACACGTTAGGTTGGACTGGAGCATTCAGGGCCTCACACTTTTATCGGATTGTTGACAGGCGTGACATTCCCGAATAACCGCCTCGACGCTGGAATTCGACTTCGGCCACCAATAGTATTGTCGTATCCGAGCTTTTGTTCGCATAATCCCTGGATGGCCTTCATACGCATATGCAACCACCGTAGGAATAAGGGTTGTAGGGACCACAAACTGCTCGCGTCTACTAATGCAGTTGCTCACAGTGGAAATCTCGTGCCGTAGGGTATAGTATGGAAGTAACTCAGGTTGGATCTTGGTGCGACTGGGCCATGAAGTGGATATCTACTCCCGAAGCTTCTCCAGGACAAGGTCTTTTCGTTTTTCTCGTATCAGGTCAATTGTTATTATACGTGTTCCGTCTGAGAGCTGCGATACCATTTTTACCTCCTCTAAGTCCTCATTTTCCCCTTCATTGCACAGTGGGAGTCTCGACAAGTCATCTACAAGTTGGTTAAAGCACCCTGACACTATTTTATTTTACAATCATAGTTCAATAAACGTGAGTACCAGCGACTCAAGCGTACCTGTTTTTGGCCTTTGTTACCGCGACTTAGTAACGTTGTAATAGCAGAATGATCGGTCCACAAAGTGAATCGACGTCCGAATAAGTAAAAGTGCCATTTCTCACGTGCCCAGATGCATACGAGGGCCTCCTTTTCGCCGGTGGAATAATTTCTTTCAGTATCAGACAAGGTACGTGATGCGTACACAATCACTTTCTCCTCGCCATCGCGCAGCTGGGACAGAACTGCACCCAAGCCAATATCTGAAGCATCCGTTGAAACAAACGTTGGACAGTGCTCATTGAAGATCGCTACCGTGGGGGTAGATCCAATCATCGCTCGTATGGTCATGTAAGCATTGTCTTGTTCAGTGGCCGAACGAAACTCCTTTCGTACCGGCTCGGTAATAGTTGCAAAATTCGATAAATCTCGAAGGTATTAAGAACAAAAACCCAAGAAATCTTGCATGGTTTTGGACAATCGAGAATAGCTCTGGTGTTCTGTACATTAGGCTTAATACCCAAGGTAGAAATAATATGTCCAATAAACTCGACCTCCGTTACAGCGAATTGACATTTGTTGGTATTCAGGCGCAGATTTAGTTCATTCAGTCTACCCAACACATTATGAAGGTTTTCCTGATGTTCGGTGTGGTTACTAAGAAAGATACAAATATCATCCATATGCACAACACATTCTTTGAGACCTGATAACGATAGAGTAATAAATTTCTGCCAAGCTGCTGCGGCACTACTATGGCCCATTGGTAGCACTTTGTATTGATACAAACCGTCTTGCGTGAGGAAAGCAGTCAAATGTCAGCAATCTGGAGTTACTGGCATGTGGTAGTATTCACTTCTAATATCCAGCGTTGAGAAAAGTTTGGCGTTTGATACCTTAACCATCAACTCATCGATAGAAGGCAGAGAGAACTTATCCACAAGTGTATGTCGATTAAGCGCTCGAAGGTCGGTGCATACACGAATAGAGCCATCTTTCTTTTGAACGGCAACTAGTGGATGAACCCATTCAGAAAACTTTATGGGTTCTATCAAGTCTTCCGTGACCATATTTTTCAAAGCTTGGGAAAACGCTTCTTGCTTGGCCAGAGGTACGGGCTTAGGTTGAGAAATGATGAACGGTTTGTAATCTGCGCTCAACCGAATGCGGTGCGTTGCTTTTGGAACTCTACCAATATCCGAAAGAAAGAGATTTGGTTAACTGGAACGTAACGAATGAAGGCTGACACTGGCAATGGTCATCCGGCTGAGGCATGGTGATACGTTCAATATGACCACGGCATTACGTCCTAATAGAGGCACACTATCAGTTTTAGAGACGTAACTTTCAACTATACGCACCCTGCTGCTTATAAGCAACATTGCAACCGCAACGAAACGGAGTATTTGAACATCACCATTGAAGTAGCTGCTGAAAATGTAAGCGGAAGGGTATACAGCTGACCAAAATGCTGTTGTAAAAACATTATGGCACAATTGTAATTGGTGTGCGCGGAATCTAGTTCCATGTCTAGGCAGATGGTTTTGTTTCTAACTTCAAAAAACGACGAATATCTGGCGAAGGCAGTTTGGGTTCTTGAGTTGGAGACAAAAGTGGATGTTCGTATTCATTAACAACATATATAGATTGTTCAGTGGTGACCGGAGTCATTTGCAGAGTCAACTAAAATAAAGACGCGGGAACGACAAACCCGAGAAAAATGACCGGTCTTACTGCAATTCCGGCAGATTTCACTCTTTGCAGTACATGACTTATCATTTGCACGATGTTCAGCATTTCCACAACGGTAACACTTATTTCTAACTGAGGATTGCGTCAGAGAGCGTGTAGAATCCAAAGGGTCAATTTCAGTAGCTTCTGCGTTAGAAGAAAATATTGTTTTCTTCCGTGACTGCGACCTTCGCGCGAGCCACGTCACAGGCCCTGTCTCATGTGAGCTTTTCTACGTTCTCCATTAAGAGACTCTCTGATCCGAAAATCCGTGAGACCAGAAATCAACTGTTGTATTAGCATGGTTTCCTCCACTTTTTTCTTGGGAATACTATTGTAGTCACACTTTCGAACAGAACAAACAAGACGGGAAACGAATGCATCCACTGATTCACCAGATGCTTGTTTCAGCTGCAAAAAATTGTACCGAGAAATATAGGTGTTCACTCGAACACCCCAATGTTTATCGAGGGCCGATAAGGCCTCTGTCAACGTGGGTTTCTCCCGCAAGTTTAAAGCATCAAATATACGTCGACCCTCTGAGCCGATGTGCAAGCGCAAAAGTTTTAAATTATCCTCTGTTTTCAGCGTCACGAATGCATTGAGAACTGGTAGCACAGAAATATAATCCGAAAAACTAATTTTTCAGTCTTCTCAGCATTCTGCATTTGGGGTAACCGCAGAGTCAGTCCAGAACGGTGAAGGGGCAGTAGCATGCAAAGACATTGGTAACACGCGACACCAATTTGTATCCCGAAAAGCAGCAGACCAGAGTAGCACCGGAACGTATGTATGGAGGAAACTGTCCGCACAGACTCGCAGTACCATTAAATCGATAGAGGTTCGCATTTCAACCAATGAAATGCGAGTCACATAATAGGCCAACGAATGCTAAATAGAAGTGTGAGTAGAGTAAGCGAATCAAGGACAAAAACAACGCCAAGTATTTGAACACGACATGTGGTATATGTTGGAACCAGTTTTTTCGATCTTTCTGAATGTTTAATTCGCGAAAGGAAGAAAACTGCGGCATCTTCGGTGGTAGTTTGGTGAGTTATTAAATGTGTGGTATCCAGCAGATAAATATTTTGTTCCTATGTATCCGGAGATTTGAGAAACCTTTGATATAGGAAAGAGTTGAGTTGCAAAACATTATTTGGCGTATTGCTGGTGTGCACACTAGCAAGAACGGAAAACTACATTTTGGCATCCAACAAACGCCGATATTGTAAATCCACTTACTGATTGAAACGTGTCAGGAAAAACCTGCTTTTACTATGTGTTGCTTTTCACCTGCGATATAGAATATCCAACGGATATGTCGCCGTAGACAAAGGCTGAATAGGGATGTGCGTTGACGGTAGCTTTTGATATTGGTTCCGTTAGCCGCTGCTAAGCAAATCTAAGGCAGAGTTTGCTTAACACGAGCCAGTTGGAAGCATCAACACGGAAATTATGAAACCTAGCCCATCAGATCGACAGACATAAAGAGGCTCGTCATATTCGATCATCGCTGTCTTCGCAGCTTAGCCTCATGTCTGTTGGGAACACCGCGTGAGCCATGAGCGTGTTCGACGTCGTTTGTTTGGTGCAGGAAAAGCGAGTGAACCGCTCAGCACCATTATATCACGCACCAGGCTCCTGTGGCTACGCAACGTGTAGCGCTTACCAGCCCACTGACTCCCACGACGTACGTTGTTGGCGTGCCCGGGGTCTGCATGGATGAAGAGGCGGGGTGGCCAAGCGATGACAAACAAAATCCCTCATTTCGAGGTTGACGTCGGTTGCTGTGCCTCGACTGCTTGGCTTGGGTCCGAACGACGATGTACACGTTTGGTTAGATACACTAGTTGACATAGTAAGGAGCCGACCTCAATAACGTTTCTGTTGTTTCTTTGTCCTTCCCTATCCTACTTACCTTCCTCTAACCTCCCTCTCCCTTTTTTCGCATAATCTGTTACTAAGTAGTCTGCCGCCCGCTTTTTAACATTCTGTTCTTTTCAGCATATTGCTTCTTTCGTTTGCCTTATCTTTATATATTGCGGCACAATAGTTGTAGTGTGTTTCTCACCTTCAGCTTATGTGTATTGATGATGATGGCCGTTAACCATTAACGAATCTCGATATACTTCAATGGATGGTAGGGTAAGTAAATCTTGGCACCACTTTAAAATCCAGTCTCATCAAGTAATCCATGCCACGTGGTTAACAAATCTGTGAAAGCGATTGCTCCTGGGCTGTTCAATGGTATTTCTCCTTACGACTCTGTAAATGTCATGAACCCGTCATCTGGTAGCACTGCATTTCTGTGTCACGGGAATTCTTGTTGAATTTCGTTTATTCTATCTTATTTAATTCTGACCCAGTATATTTACTTGTTAAGTTGTTCTGCTTTGTACTAGAGACCAACTTCCTGCATTTTTGGGTGCGTTCCACATGGTACTCCGATCAGTGTCCCTTCGGTCTGTCCTGGTTTTGATACACAGAGTGCTTGATGTCTCTTTGTGTTCACCTTGTTTTTTGGAACTTTCTGTTAGTGTGCTCGATAAATATTTTCTTTTTTTCAAGACGTTGGAGGCAGTTCAACAAGCCAAAGCAATGTTGGATTATACTATCGAAATAGTCCCCGTCCCACGAACGTATGTGGGTCCTATTGTTGGTTCTGGACAGCGACACATTCAGCATATCGTGGATTGTGTGGGTTTGAGTGGCATGAAAATCTGCGACATGCGCGAGACGGATATGGCCGATTTTGTCGCGTTCCAGTTAACCGGCACAAGCCAGTCCATAAAGGATGCTCGAATGTTCCTCGAGTTTCACATCGCCAGTCTCAATGAATTGGACAGATTGAGAGGAGTCCCTATTCCTGCTCCAGCGCCTCCCCTCAAAGATTCCGTTTCTGAACAAGAAACTAATGTTGTACCACTTGAAAAGTGAGTCTAGCTGCTGTTCTGTAACCTTTACATGCTCACGATAAAACAGACTAATTACATACCTTAAGCTTATCGTCGTCTCCTCCGCACTTTTTTTAGTTGCACGTTAGTCCAATTTGCACGTAAACTTAGCAACAGCCTCGCATCTTGCTAATTTGTCTAGCCTGCATTTTCTTTTCGTGGATTTGACAGTGCTCTCACCAATTGCTACCTTAGTACAGATAACCACGCCTTACTCTTGGGCAAGCCAACTTTAGTCTTCATTCCGGTCCGTGACCGAAAAGACAAGACGTCTACCTTGCAACCCGGAGGTCGCCGGTTCGAGCCTGCGTAGGAGGCCGCGAGACCTTCGCAGCATCTTTATCTCACGCACCATTAGTGGGGGTTGCGTGGTGGCGAAGCGTCGCTACGGCGCACGGCTGATACCTTTTTACACATGCACAAATTCCGTTTCCATAGCGCTACACCATGTGGAATTATTGGTCCTCCATGTTATCAACGATATCAGAGTAAAACCGCTCACCGAGTTACAAAGTTTGCTTGATGGGGACAAACATCTGATAAGTTATCGTTTCAAGATAACTCAGCTTACTCGCATCGTTTGAGAGAAAAATTGATGCTGTTCAAAGAAATAGAGTTCGCACAATTTTGCTTTCAGCATATCAAAAGCATTCCTTTTCTTACCAACACTGGGTAATAAATCGAGCATTTGCAGTTTCGAAACTTCTCCACTCAGCCACTGTTTGCCTTTGCTACTCGCAGCATATTGAACTGGATTCTCCGGGGCCAAAAGGATGAGATTGATGGAAAGGTAGACTAGTTTGGCCCGAATTGTGTCTCGCGTATTCATGAGTAAACTCGCTGTCGACATCCATCACGAAAGCTGCTTCATATTTACGCCGAATTTTAGCTTTAATTCGAGTCCACTTCCGATGCATCCGATTGCCAGTGCGGAGCCCACTCAGTGGCTTCGTTAAACTAGCTTTCTACCGATCAGCCCATGACATATCCCATTGCTCGATACTTCCATCATTACGGTTTTGTTTCCTCTTCAACTTCGCTATTGATGAAGTCATAGAAACAGCGTTCGCTGGACACGACCTAGATGGTGTGGAGCTACTTCCTGGTGAGCGACTTCTTGACTTGGAGTATGCGGACGATATTGTCCTAATCTGTGACAGCCTCCAAACATGCCAAAGAGCACTGGACCGATTAGCACTGGCTGTCAATCGTTTTGGGCTATGCTTTGCTCCATCGAAATGCAAAGTACTTCTCCAAGATTGGCAGGGACCCAACCCTGCGCTAACGCCTGCTGGTGATCTGCTAGAAGTCGTTCAGGAATTCAAGTACCTGGGCAGCTATATTAGCACCCGTGGGATTGAAGATGAGGTTACGAACCGCATAGTAAAAGCTCGAGGTGCTTTTGCCAATCTCCGCCACCTGTGGCGCATACGCGACATTACTCTCGCCCTGAAAGGCAGAGTTTACAACGCAGCCGTTCTACTCTCTTATATGGTTGTGAAACCTGGCCCATCAGGTCGACTGACATGAAGAGACTCGTCACATTCGATCACCGCTGCCTTCGCAGCTTAGCTCATGTCTGGTGGGAACACCGCGTGAGCAATGAGCGTGTTCGACGTCGTTTGTTTGGTGCAGGAAGAGCGAGTGAACCGCTCAGCACCATTATATCACGCACCAGGCTCCGATGGCTGGGCCACGTGTTGCGCGTGCCAGCACACCGACTCCCGCGACGTGCATTGTTTGCGCGTTGTGGGTGCGGTTGGAAGAAGAGGAGGGGAGGCCAAGTGATGACTTGGTCGAGAGAAATGAAAACCCTCACTTCGAAGTTGGCGTCGGTTGGTGCATCCCGACTGCCTGGCTGGGGTCCTAAGGACGGTGAACGCGTTTGCTTGGACACACTTGCTGATATGGCTAGGAGCCGGCACCAATGGCGTTTGTGTTGTGATTTCCTTTGCCCATCCCTCCTGTTTAGTATCCCCCTCCAATCACGATCTCACCTGTTAGGCATAATATGATTCTCTTTTTGCGGCAGCCAGCTGTTAGCTCTCCGGAACGATGTCCATCCGTTACTGGGGAATCAGCGGGCGTGCCACTGTTTGTCACTGTTTTCCTTTTATTTTATTTTGTATTGCGGCACAATAGTTGAGGTGTTTTCCACCTCCAGCTAACGTGTATTGATGATGATGATGATGATGACAGTTTTGTTTCCCTGTCGCCATCCAGAAATCCCAACAATTAATCCCATATGCAAACGTTTACTTGTGTGAGTGAACGCTAAGCGTCTTATCGTGTATTTGATATTTTTGCAGATTACTGATCCGGTTGGCTCGGCACGATGATTATTCAGCCGCCATGACACGCTAGTGTGCTTCGCAAAACCACAAGACTAGACTCGGAATGTGGTCAGACTGACATATAATAGTTGTATGATATTTCGTCTTACACATACATACACGTTCTCTGAAGGTGTGAAATACCCTTCAGCTAATGTGCCGCAATACAAAATGATAAGATATATGAAGAAGCGAGATACATTCCAGAATGCAGTGTATAAGACCAAAACTAATATGCTACTCAACCTCATGTTACGCATCACGTCTGAGAACGTCGTTGGAGATTCAAGATAAGCGGGAGGGTGTGAAACAAACAAAGATATTTCATTTTGGAGGTTTGCTAAACATACAAAAGGGACAATGCGTCTGCTTTCGGTGTAATCTCATTCTCAACAAGTATTTTCCTATCTTCGGATGTTAAATCCAGACTTGTAGCCTAGCCTCTCGTGGAGAGCTTTTTTCTCAGTTTCACTGCAGAAATAATATGACATCTAACGTTAGATTACTTGTTTTTGGCTCTTGTATTTTGTACTGTTTGCTATTTCGCTTTTCATATCTCTTTTGTATTGCTGCTCAGTTAACTGAAGCGTATTTCTCACCTTCTGCTAATGTGTGATGATGATGCTGATGCTTCTTCGGTTTCGCCATTCATCGCTCACCTACGTTTTTTCCCAACTTAACATCCGTCCCCCGACGTTACTTATCTTTTTTCTGATCATTGTCATGACGTGCGGCACAGTGAACCTTTACTGGGGCCGTTCGCCTGAGGTTAAGATATTTCGTAACTCCCAACCTACTGTCTGTGCGTGTACCATAAAGCCTCCAGTGTTAGCTAGATCGTCCCATCGGACATCACTCGTGCTGCACGCTCTCGGGTGATCGATCTGTACACTGTCTCCGACATGAGGGATCACACATCACAGCCGCACAGAGTCCGTAAGATAACGTTGCGAATCCTGTTCACAGTGAACGACGCTTGCGTCGCATTGCATTTATGAGTGGCACGGCTTGATGTTTTTCATTCAAAGTTCACTTATTTGCGTTGATTCTCAAATCGTTCGAGCCGGTGCTATCTATAGCTGATGACAATATGGCCAATTTGTGTCCATGTCATTGAGGAATTTAGTGGGCGCCAGGTGACGCGATGTGAACGTTTGTACTGGGAAGCAGTGCTGCTAATATAGAGATTGTGGTCAGCGCGCAGTTGCAAGAATCGATCACCGTTATTTGTTCGTCGCGCATCGACCCCGAAGTAGCCTTCCAGATGTTGCCCAGGTTCCGAAAGGTGACCCAGTTGTGCATTCAAGTATCCAACAGCCGTCATGCTGTCAGTATTCTTCGCCACACGGAAAAAAGACGAAAGGTGCTAATAGAAATCGTCCCTGATATCCTCCGAGCTGCAGTGAGTAGGGGCATAAATTGAAGCGATAAAAAAGCACCTCGTCTTCAGGTGGTGCTTATGAACCCCAGTAGAGATTCGCAGTCGAACCGCACACGTGCAGCTGTTCACTGATATTCAGCCAAGTATATTGCTTTCAGCACTTTTGCTGAGGACGATTCCAACATCGTAAATACCTTCAACCATAGACTCAGTATCACAGGAGACGCTGTGAGCTTTATCAGTGTCAACAGATTTGGAACCAGGGAGTTGACGATTTCACACAACGCGTAGGAATTTCTGAACTGGTCACCGGGTTCTCCATCAAATACCACAAGAACTCGTATGGCACTGTGTCAAAGCCGATGTGACCGACTCTAGGGTCACTGACCACCCAATTCTGTAACTGGAAGTGAGTAACTAACAGAGGGTGGATGAACAAACTTGGTGGCAACCGGCTTCTCTGTGGACGGCAACCGAACACAAAGAAGATGAATGAGCCAGCTGGCTGTCAACGGTCCTCCAAATCGCCCCGCTGCCTTGCGGGTCAGGTCTTTAAGACCAAAGGCTTGGAGTGGGGTCCCTTAACTCAACCCTATTCCTCGGCCGGGCAACCGGGAAGCTCATTGCCCACACAACACATGGATCTTGGCATCCATTCCTTTGACTTTTTTCTTCCTTTTTGTTCTTATTCATGTGTTATGGCACACTACCCAATGTTTATTGGTTAAGGATATATATATATATATATATATATATATATATATATATATATATATATATATATATATATAATCTTGTACGTATATTTCGGATACACCGCACACATCAATACCAGTAGAGTGAAGAGTGTGAGTCACTGCTGCGTTGGCCAAGCTGATGCACACTGTTGACGTTAGATAAACCAATGTGAAATGGAACTCTTAGTTTGAGGGACAAACTACTTATATCGATGGCAGCAGGTGCGAGATCAGTGATGCTGTCTTCATCAGTAGATGAGGAAGAAGAGAGGAGAGAGAAAAACAATTAGTATGGTCGACAGGGTCAAGAGATCGGATGATGCTCTCCAGTTGTCCATTCCGATAGTAGGGTTTTGTCCGAGATGCACTACCTCTTGCTTTTGATTCAATTTTGACCCACAAAGTAGTAAAGGATATGGAGGTTCGCTTGAGGGACTCCCCCTGCAGCCTTTGGCTCAATAGCCTGACTCGCACAAAAGTGGGGAGCATGTTCAATTCGGGAATGTGATTGCGGGGACCCATTTAAAT